ACAGGAAGTGAGCCGCTCAGCACCATTATATCACGCACTAGGCTCCGATGGCTGGGCCGTGTTGCGCATGCCAATCCACCGACTCCGGCTACGTGCGTTGTTTGCTCTCCGGGAGTGTTAATAAAAGAGGAAAAGGGGTGGCCAAGCGATGACATGGTCAAGAGGAATGAAATCCCCTATTTCTAACTTTGTCTCCATTGGAACTTCTCTTCTCTGTTGTTGGGGTCCAAAAGACGATGAACACGTTTGGCTTGATACACTTGCTGACATGGCTGGGAGCCGACTTTAGTAGCGGTGCTATGGTGAATTTCTTGGTCCCTTCCTCTCCCGCTTAGCCTCCCCACTCAACCACAATCTCATTTACTAGGCATAATATAACTCTATTTTTGCGGCACAATAACTGGCTGTTAGCTCTCTAAATCGATGTTCATCCCTTACTGGTGACTCAGCTGGCGTGCCTCTGTTGCATATTTTTCTTTTCTCCTATATTGGGGCACAATAGCTGAGGTGTTTTCCACCTCTAGCTAACGCGTATACTGATGATGTGTCCGCCTGGCCAAGAGGTGACTGCGACGAATCATATCCAAATGCTCCCTACCATTTGCATGGTGCTCAGGTATCACTATTGTGACATCCGAACCAACGAAACTTCTCAGCATGTTCACCAGAAGTGACTCTAAACTCACCACACTTTTCTCCCTGTCCTCTCTGCACTTTTGAACAAACAAGACATCGTTGTACAGTGTCTACAAATGCATACAGCCGTAACTCCAGACCTATCAGTACAGGAACTCAAACGTATTCACCAGCCTTGCATTGCAGATGAACATCTGTAAGTGGCTTACAGGCATCTTGAGATGGCGGCTATTGTGGCCGCTGCCATTAAAGCTTACAATGTCCAACTTACCATTGGGTGGAATGTAACAGCGTAATAATTCCACATCTGCAGATTGTGGGGTGCGGTGTTTCTAAATTTTTCCATCCACCTAAGGGATTAGTCGTCCTGAGCAACTTCATCTCCATGCGTTTGTTTGGAGAACCCTACTCGCATGACTCACAAATGATTGGGCTTTTAGTATCTGGTACTGGGAATGTGGTTCACTGTTCTCTCGCAACTTACGTAGACACCTATGGTTTACAATAATTTCATGGTAAGGTCTGAAGTCAGGGTAAGCGAATATGTTTTCGACAATCCATCTTAAGTTACTCGTAAGTAGCAGGATTTTTAATTGTACTCTTTGTAAGGTATTCATCTCAATACTTCACAAGCTACACAGCGCAGCTTGTGAACTATCGGGATGAATACCACACAAAAATCCATTTAAAGGTACATACACTTATATGCAAAACAAATTGTGTTGGCAGAAACTACAAGTATTTACTCATTGAATAAGCTGACTAGATGCAAACGGCCACTGTCAGTTTGGTCTCAACAACAGACTGCACATGACCTCGCAGGTCCAGAGTTCACTAGCCGTCTTTTCCACGGTTGTCCCAACCCTCGAAGAGCCTCTTCTCACCACAAAGCCCTGGCCCATACATCCGAATACCAATCACTTCAGCGGCTTTTAATACCAGTTGATGGGTGGGGGGCTTAATAGATTCTTTTGAACTAATCAACTGATTTGGTGTCAGCTAGATATGCGGCTTGAAGTGTTCGTCCCTTGCCTGAATGGACGCTTGATTCCCAATCAAACCCGAAGTCACTGGCCCCCCACAGGACAGAGAGAAGACGAATCGGACGAGCAGGGCAAAAGGAATGAATTAGCAAATCACACCGTTCATTATAAAGGTAAATTGGAAAGTTCGTGAACAATATATTTAAAGCGACCGTGGAAAGCTCTGGAAAGGTTAACTTACAGCCAATAAAAGAACTTCAACCTAGCGTTCATTGGCCGCTTCTCCTGGTTGGCTCTCTGTTCGCCCCAATCAGGGCGGATGGGTTTGGATAGCCGGCCGAGACGATGGGGTCCTGGCTTGTTCGACTCGTTTATTCCTTCCTAACACTTCCCCCCTTTGAGTTGTGTTGTACGATTTCAGCTTGGGGTTGACTTGCATGGGTGATACGAATTTGCGTCGCCGCTTCGGCCGCTGTGCTGCTAGGTTTCGGGGTGAATTTTGTGCTTGCGGTGTTGGGGCATGCGGGGGAGTCGTCGCTTCACTGGCGTCTGCCAGGATGTCCAGAGGTAACTGCGTTGCCGGTACTTGTTGTTGCACTTGATCCGCAGTCCGTGCCGCTAGCAGCTGATTGGCATGTCTTACCCAAACTGCCGTCCCAACCTGGATACCGTATATCACGTTACCACGTTTGTATAGTACATGGCCCATAGCCCATTTAGGATAGTGGATGCGATAGTCTCTCGCCAGAACTTGTTGACCAACATTAAAGCTTCGCTTCCGAGCACCGTGTCGGATGTTGAATTGTCGCTCCATCTGATAGTTGCGGGACAGCAACTGATCCTTACTGGGCCTGAGGGCATCATGCGGCACACGGATTTTCCTTTGAAACAAAGTTTCAGCCGGAGATAGGGCGTTCGGAGTCTGCGGATTCGGAGTTGTGCGATACGTCAGCAGAAATGTGTCAAGAATCTCCTCCAGGGTACCTTCCCCCTTCATCTTTAGCAAAGCTCTTTTGAGGGTATCCACAAATCGTTCCGCTTGCCCGTTCGATTGTGGGTGGAAGGGTGGAGACCTTACGTGGACGATCGCGTTTCTGCGACAGAAGACGACAAATTCAGATGAGGTAAATTGTGTTCCATTGTCCGAAACCAACGTGTGGGGAACACCGAAACGAGAAAATATCTGTCGAAGAGCGGAGACAGTGGCTGCTGCTGTGGTTCTGACCATTGGAATCACCTCCGGCCATTTACTGTGGGCATCGACAACAATGAGAAAATGGTGACCATCAATTGGACCTGCAAAGTCGATGTGTACCCTTGACCATGGTTCCGTTGGTATTCGCCAGGATTGCAATTCCGTCTTCCTTGGTTGTTTTGATACACTTGCACATCGGTGACAATTCTTGGTTAAACTCTCGATCTGGGAATCCATATAGGGCCAATACACATAGCTTCGTACCAGGGATTTCATGCGATTCATTCCCGGGTGGCCATTGGGGTTTCCCCGCGTGGGTTCGAATCCCACCTCCGTCGCCAGTTGAAGTGTTCGTCCCTTGCCTGAATGGACGCTTGATTCCCAATCAAACCCGAAGTCACTGGCCCCCCACAGGACAGAGAGAAGACGAATCGGACGAGCAGGGCAAAAGGAATGAATTAGCAAATCACACCGTTCATTATAAAGGTAAATTGGAAAGTTCGTGAACAATATATTTAAAGCGACCGTGGAAAGCTCTGGAAAGGTTAACTTACAGCCAATAAAAGAACTTCAACCTAGCGTTCATTGGCCGCTTCTCCTGGTTGGCTCTCTGTTCGCCCCAATCAGGGCGGATGGGTTTGGATAGCCGGCCGAGACGATGGGGTCCTGGCTTGTTCGACTCGTTTATTCCTTCCTAACACGGCTGTTTATGGGTTTGTTGCTTTTCTGATTCTAGTTTTAAGCCAGGTTAGCTGGGATGCCCTCACTGTCTCGGAAAGACGCCTTATTGCACGATCAATGTATTTTGATCCACAGGAACAGGAGAAGGATTAAATATCATCAACTTGGTGTGGTAAAGCCTCTTATCCTTTGAGTTTAGTCTCATTATTTGGGTACCGATGAAGTGCATTGGCATTTGCGCCGCCAGAAGCGTGTCTGATTACATGTGACAAACAGCAAGTTAGACGTTCTACCGTAACTGTCCTTGCATGGCCACTGCAGAAATATTGGCTTCCGTACCACCGTCAACATTACGGACTCTTCTTTTGTTTGGTGTTGGCTTTAATGCAAGTCTTCGGGTAGTTATTCCTCCTCAACACCAATTGTAAGCTTCTATTTACCAACATATTCTTTCAGTTCGACTTACCAGGTTGCGTATCAAGTCCCTTATAAACCGAAATGTCGCAAAGTTGTAGGCATTGGTGTGCTGGTCAGTTTATGTGCAGCGCATCGTCACTAAGTCTTTCCATGGCTGCATCGAAACCAAAGCGACTGTTTTCCTCTATCTCAAAGGGAAATTTTCGTGCTGGAGGTACATAGTTTTGTACGGTAGATTCTTTTGACGCTGAGATATAGGACGAAACGTCCACAATAAGACCAGTTTCCATCGGTGCCATCCAATCACTAGTTAGTATGGGTTGTTGAAATGCCGCGGCTGATCTCATTAGAGTTGGCCCAATTGACTTGCTTTCCTGTGTGACATTCGTCGTAAATAACTGTGACGAAACCACGAACCTTCATCACCCTATCACTTTACCGCCTATCTAGTAATGGTTCGCTCTCACCCACATCTTACCCAATACGAAACATGGCCACTACCCGCCAATCTCTAGATGAGACTGGCGGTACTGACCTCATTTTGACACATTGGCCTGAATGCTCCAGCTGATGTTGTTTTCATTTTTTCTTCTCTGGACCCGGATCACGTCACCACCGCTGTCACAACACAAATCATCAGTCGTCTTTGCAAAGGAAGTCCCTGACTTCGATGTCCTCTTCTATGACTTTGTTAGGACTTGTAAAGCGCAATGAGAAGTCGAAGTTCCGCAGATGCATGCATTTCACACCGTTTCATCAGTGCCGATAACGATAACCGGTATTTTTATCCAACAGTTTCTGGGTGCAGACATACATACAAACAAACGTGAGGAAAGAATTGTCACCCATACAAATTTACATCCCATCGTTAGTAGGAACTGACAACTACGGCGCGCCGTCTGCATGATCTTTATTTTTAGTATATAAATATCTGATCCATCTGCAAGCAACATCTGTCAGAGAGGATTCAGAAGCACCTAACTTAACATGCAGTTTCTCTGTTGCCAGCAATAAGATTCCCGACCCATCCACTTTGAGTTGGAAACCACCACTTGGCGTTCTGACCTCCTTGTTCTTTTACTTTCCAGAACGAGTACGTCATTTGCAAGAGCGATTGGAAGAATTCATTGCAGCCCTTAACAAAGGGGAATGAACCAGTCCTGAAGCGGTTACTGCTCTCTCAAATGTTCATCTCCTGGTAATTCCATTTCCCTCGCATCACTGAGCCAGTCGGATTATAGACTCAATCCAGCCTCCATCCTTGATGCAGATAGTGTCCACTCTAAGCCTTATTATTCTCCACCTCCCTAACCTCAGCTGTGAGACACGTGGTTCCCATTGCACTTAGCTGCAAGCACATCCGCATCCCATTTCAGATGTTCATACGAGCCGTATTGACTTATGTATGCCATGTTCGAATCATCTCTTGAGCTCTCATGGTCTTTAGAACTTTGTAACAGGCTGACTAATTTCCCATGCTGGTTTCTTCCAGAAATTGAACTTGTTTTGCGGTTTCTATGTAACCATATGACATTTTGCTCAACTATGTGAGACAAAATGAGCTAATTCGATTGTGAATGTCATTCACATTTCTAGGACGTGTGTCCTAATGTCAATGCACATCCACGTTTGTAAATGGCGCCTTTAAAGATACATGTTTCTTAGTGACTTACTTTTGACTTTTCACAGTGGCGAGTGACGTCAATAAGGTTTGAGAGCTCTCGACCGAGCTCCATCACTGATAGCCTCAGTCAGTCAGCAGCCACTTGTCGGGAGAAATTACACAGCGGCTCGTCCAATCGTGATCAGGGGTGCGCATTTTACTCGAACACTTAACCTCTCTTTTTACAGGACACACTCAGTCCAAGCGTAACAGCGGTTTGGCCAAACCGCCAGATTCGGTACACATTAGGAACAAACAAAGGACGAGGTCTGTCCCAGGAGCGTTCGTCGCTCGCTGAAACACTGGTCACCTGGCATTGTATGCTAACCGAGCGATTACTGATTCCAGCAAGTGACAGAGGAATTTAATACATTTCAACGGTACCTCGCCGGCTTGGTTGTATCTTGGGATCACATGGAATTTTCTTCAGTTTCAAGGAGGAGTGCATGCCACTGTCTAACTCAAAGCAAAACGAATCCCCGCTTGTGTGATGATGCGCTTGAGTGATTCGTATTTGTGATGCGATGTGCTTTGTTAGAAGTCGCTCACTAGTGCTGCTGCTACTGCTCTATCTCAGCAAAGAAGTTGGGCAGTTCATTGTTTAGCGCCACATACGTCTCGTATTAATGCATGCTCGTCCTCATCCCCATTCGAACGACACTGTCAGCCGCTTTAGCCATCCTCTAAAATTCCGGTAACTACCTTGAAATACCTGTTCGGGTTTCCGCCAGAGATACGCGTTCGTCCCTGGATTTGATTTGGAACATTTCATGTAAATTGGTTTCGATTCGGTTTTTTGTGCGTCACCGATTTTCCCTAATGTGAATTCGGTCTCTACTACTGATTGTTGGCTGCTCTTATTTCACCGACGTGCTCCATCTTGTAGCCGCGTTGGAGCCTTTTTGCTTGCAGAGGCAGTCCCGTACTTATCAATGGTGGTCACCTACTTGGGTCTATTCGGTTACTAACTTATGTATGCCGGTTTAAGGTAGGTCCTATGTTGTACATACCTCAGGCTACCAAGTCTGGTCCGTCCAACACCAGAAGAACACGGTCACCACCCATTCGCCTCATTCTACATACCCGGAGATTCGTCAGGCTGACTTGTAGCACATGATTGCTTTGTAGACACTAATAACTTCTGTTCAACTAGGCCAATATCACCTTTTGATGGTTAGTATAGCGTACAAAAATTTCCACTCATGTATTGAAACCGTGCATTTGAAAAGTAACTTGTCCTGAATGTTTGTTCGTATGGCGAATTCAAGACAAACAACACCGGTCCATTTTCCCCCTAAATCTCGGGGATTGTCAAAAGTTTTCACTGCATGGTCGTCGCCTCTAAACTACTCCAATGATCTAGGCTGCAGCGGTCAACTTTCTCGTAGGTGTCACATTAAGGCAAATCATATTAGCTTTCACTTTTGTACAGGGCGCATAGCCTTGTTTTACGTTTCACCACATATTCAGGTGGTATCATCCATATAACCAACTCTTCCCGGGTGTTTTCTTCGATTTGAGAGTGTCCTCTGATTCAGTTGACCTCACTGTCCATGACATTGTCAAATCTCAAATGATGTAGCCAAGTGATTAATTTCTGTGCCGAATCCTATACCGCGACTCCCAGAGCCGTGCTTTGGTCCACGGTAGGCTAGTTCCGTCAAGATTTGCCTAGTCTTCTTTTCTCTTTTAGCTTTGTTTCCGTGTCCACCGTAACCGTCTCTATCTTACATGAATCTTCTGGACTTGAGTTTCTTCCAGATAACAATTGACAACTTTAAACCATGGGGATTGCATGGTTTTTGAAGTTGGACTTTGATCTTTACAGTTGCTTTTGAATAGACCTGCACAGTGCGCCTCACTTTCTGCATGGGTTTCACATCCCTAAACGCAAGGTAGTATTGCGGAAATTGGTCCATACCACCACTACTCAAATCACCGAATTGCCTCTCGAAGTTGTTGCTTAATTTGCTTATCTTGATTGTGTCGGTTGGTGGCCGAAATGATTGCACGCCTGTGTTGTAATCCGGAGGTCACCGGTTCAAATTCGCGTAGGGGCAGGCGTCCTGGCGGTATACCCAGCCCACGCGCGACGTAGGAGTCGCATGGCTGCGAAGCGTCTGCATGGTGTACCTGCTTAATGCTGACGTTTTCATCCATGGAATACTCATATGAAGTACGGTTCTGCGGTACTGCTGGCCCCTACAGAGCAGTTTCACGCTCCTAACATTGGCGATGGTGATGTGCTTCGTTTGCTTAAGCCAAAAGTTATAATATGCAAAACACCCCAATCTGAATTAGTTTTCAAGTGCGTCAGGGTAGACTTGTATGGTTTTTCGATCCTCTTTGGAAACCGTCAGTTATAGGCTCGACTAATCCCTTGAATTACGATGCTCCAATACAACCATTGTCACTGTGTATGTTGGCGACGCGATCACTACGTGGTGAGGACTTAAATGGACTACTCTCCTTTAACCACCTATTCTTGCAACTCACCACTTACGCAGCGTAAGCAACGATCTGGTCAGGAACTTGCTTGGTCCAGGTCATCCGGTAACAACCAATCGGCTGCGTTGACCAAATGATGCTTCTCGCATGCCTTCCGACCACATTTACCTAGCTGATGACACGACCGAATCGGGTTTATCCATGTCGATTTATTTGATGCATGTCTCAGGGCGGTTTCATCGATGGATTAAAACCTTGTAGGACATGCCGCATTCCTGAACCCCCTTACACTGGTCTGCTCCTCCTCTTGCATGGGGTTCTCGACTTCAATTCCCTGTTTGAGTTCATCTTTCCGTTTGGTTCGCTCTCTTCTTTCCTTTGTTATTTTACTAGCGACGTGAGCTAGTGTATCCAGACGCTTGGGTGCACGAAACATAACTATTTAAAAAGGTAGGATTTTCGCTTATGAGAAGCGGTGTGCAAAGCCTTTTCAGTCTGTTCGCTTACTCAATATCGGTCTTTCCCTGCATCTGAACCACTTCGCCGTCAATCAGAATTTGGTTCAAATGAATTACAATCGATAGACCATTCATGCAAATTGGTAATTCTGCTTTCTGGCCAACTGATGAAGTTGAGAAACATCGTCAATAACAGCGGCGCTTTATATTTGCATTTTGCTGCCACACGCGGGGAATTAGAAAAGGCGATCCTAGTAGTAACTGAATGGCGATGAAGTAGGACCGATATGGGGGCTGTCCTCAACCAGTTTTTCCTGATTTTACTCGTGCTACTTCACGAAGACGCCGTGGAAGTCAGCTTCCTAGCCAAGCAGTATTCGTCTGTCTACTCGATCGAGACACCGTTCAGCAATGATGTTGCACCCATATTTACCTCTCTTCTGGGACACGGAAATATCAGTCTCGATGATATCGAGAGGCTCCTCCCTCAGCTTGACCCATGTTCTTCTCCAGGTTCTGATGTATTGCATCCATTGTTTCTCAAAACTGGCTGGTCACTTTACTGCAGCTGTCTGCGGAATCTTTCGTCGTTCATTCCAAATTGGACGCCTCCGGTTGCCTGGAAATTGGGAATGGTCAAACCTGATATACCAAGGAGGAGATTGTCAAGATCCCGCTAATTATCGACCCATCTGTAATATGCAAAGTTATGGAGCGGATTCTCAAGGTAGCTCTCCAGCTTCACCTTGCGCTCATCATGGGTTTCGGAGAACGCGGTCATGTACCACAAACTTACTTATTGTCAGAGAAAAGTGGGCGAGACCATTGGACGCTGACAAACGCCTCGATGTAGTTTTTGTTGACTTCAGCCAAGCGTTTGACAAGATTCCGCGCAAACGGCTCCTTTGTAAACTCCAAGGAATTGGTGTACCTGGGAACTTTCTCTCTTGTATCTCCACTTTCCTGGATGGTCGTACTGTCCCAGTGTTTATGACCAGTGGTGTCCCACAAAGGTCAATCCTTGCGCCTGAACTCTTCAAAATTTTCATCAACAACTTAACCACCACGCTTCCGATGGATTGTTTAATCTATGTGGATGACCTGAAACTATGTATGGAGGTGTCCAGTCTGGATGATGCCGATATGCTACAATTGTCGCTCGATCTACTACACGACTGGTCAGTCAAGTGGCAATTGCCATTGAATCGCGACAAATGCTCCGTTTTTCCAGTTGACGGTTTTCAACCGTTCGGAGTCTATCCTATTTTTCGGTTCTTCCTCAAAAATGCTTATCAACAGAGGCACCGTTGCATACCTCTGTCTCCTGACCAATGGTCAACTCAGGACACTTTGAGGAGTGTCGGCTTGGCCAGCAATGTTCCGTGCTATACGAAGAGCCTTCTCTTGATTGACGTCAGAGATGTTCAAGCTTCTGTTTGCATCCCACGTGAGGCCGATTATCGAGTACGCATTGCCTGCCGCCCATCCTATCACCAAAACTGAATGCAGCCTGATTGGGAAGGTTCAGTGATGCTGATCAAAAAGTGTCCCTGAGTTGCGGAATCTCTCTTGTCCTCTTCGGCTTCAACGGATGAACTTGTTCTCCCGGAACTATCATCGCCACCGTGGAGTTCTGATTTTTACTCGACGTGTTCTAAGGGAAGAGCTGGGAGCTGAGCTTCAAGGCTTCTTTTGGCTAAACTCGGAGGGCGTGACTCGTGGGCATCGCTGGAAGTTGTTTAAACCGCAGAGGCTTCGAGTACATACCAAACTTACTCTGTCTACTCGTGTGGTAAACCACTGGAACTCCTTACCCCAGTAAGTCATCGATGCGCACACATCATCATCATTATACACGCTAGCTGCAAGTGGGGAACACTTCAGCTATGGTGCCGCAATACAAAAGAAAATATGTGAAATAGGTGCACGCCGGCTGAGTCACCAGTAACCGATGGACATCGTTCCGGAGAGCTAACAACCGGCTATTGTGCCGCAAAAAGTCATAATGCCTATTAATTGAGGTCGTGCTTGGAGGGGTAGGCTAGGCGGAGGGGGAGAGACAAAGGAGCTCACAAGACAAACGCCATTGCGGTCTGCTCCTAG